CCAGCAATATATAGTGGGGTTAGGTGGGACGTTCTAAAAATTCAAAATTTTAGTTGTGTTTTTTAGGGACAAGATCCTTTCAATCCCCACCAAGGAAGAATCTAAATCATCTTTTTGTGACTTTCTTGTTTAGCCTTCCTCTGAAAAATAGTGTTTGAAACAAGGAAAATGAAATGCTTTTTCTACAAACTGTGTAATAGAAGCAGAAGGGGCCTGAATGCCACTGAATTTTGTTCTCCTAAAAAACAGAGTTGATCTGAAAAAGAATGAAAAGATGACATTAACAACATGCAATAGTGTGAGCTGCTTTTTTCACAGAAAAATAAAAATCAAAATATTATAGACATGGCGGTTGTTATGAAGAAGCAAGTTGTCAGGACTCCAGTAGTGACCCCCATTTAAATCATGAGTCCCTAGCCTGAATTTCAAAACTTGGAGAAGATTTATTAGGAGAAGACATGCCAGTGCTACCCGGGTGTAGCTGACTCTGAGACACATCATTCATTGTCACGCTTGACCCTGGTTTCCCCTACCCCCTGGGTGTATCATAATTCATATTCTCCAATGAGACACATCCATAGCCAAGAATCATCAATCATACTCTCCAGTTAGAATTTTGCGTGGCAGAAATTTCAGTCGTCTGGAAACTATTTATGAAATAGCCATGGAATGCAGTTTCATTTTTTTAGCTGCTACATATTCCCCCCTCCCTTTCTGTTGGCAACTCTAAAAGGCCACAGAAATATTTTATGAGTTGACACAAGTGTAATAGAAACTTTGGCGCAGGGATTGCTCATCTTCTCATTCTGCTCAGATGTGGCAGCTGTTCCTAGTGTCCCCTACAGCATGGGAATTAGGCTGCAGAACATTATATGTTATGACTCCCCTTCAAAATTCAAACAAACAAAACAGAAAGCAGCCGTTTCACAATTAAATCAAACGGAAAGAAGTCTTACAAGATAACGGCTGGCAGAAACCTCAATCCACAGCATAAATCTTTACTCTGTCCGGCAAACCAGTCCTGGCAATAAATCTCCAGTCTCAGAGCTTCTTGCTGTAACGTCCTCACTCAAATAGTCACTTTGTTCCTGGCAAAATGTACCAGCCCAGCTGTGTCCTTTTATACTCATTGAGGCAACGTGCTAATTTACTGACTCGCTCTCCTCATTCGTTCCAGCTGATTTTGCCTTCTCAACCGTCTTCTGTTTTTTACATTTAACCACAAATTTTCCAAGTTCTCATCTCCACTAGAACTCTCTCTCAAAACTTCCCTGTCAGCCATTCCCAGCTGTTGATCAGATAAGGAACCAGAGGAGGTCAAAGGTCCTGACAATTCTAATACATCAGGTCTGTCGTCCTTTGTCATGTCCATCTCCTCATCCTGGTTACCAGTCCAATCACTGAGCCATGCCGGCTCATATTTTTCTGCCATGACCTCCTCACTTGAACTCATATCAGTCACAGGAGCTGAATCCAAGCCCGGAGCCACAACAATTATACATATACCTCCTGGATTTTGTAGGAGGCCAGCATGGTGGCAATCTAAGAGGAGATGTTAGTCTTAGTCCCTTCATGGACTGTCATGCCCCCATCAGAGCCTGAATCTGTGGAGGAGGATGAGTCAGAGCTGGGGCTGACGGAGGTCAAGGGAGTGGCCTTGTTGGCTTCAGAGGAATTCCAGGAGGAGCAGGATGAGGCAGCCTTGGACCCCTCAGGTTTGGGATGGCTTGCTAGCAGGGAGGAACAGGAGCAGGATGGCTGAGAGAGGGCAGGCAGTGGAAATGAAGAGTGACGGAGCTCAGGTGATGAGCAAGGACCACCTCCTCCTGATCCCAGAGCACGGAGAGTGGAGAGAAGGCAGGAACAGTACAGGCTGACCTGATGACTTGGAAGGAGAGCACCCCCCCTCCTTCTTCACAAGGCACATCCTGGGACTCTTCTAATAAAGTCTAATATAAACTAAATTAAAAGAGAGAAAACCAAAAATAAAGTGTGAAATATTTTAAACTCTCTGTCTAAAGTTACATTGTGGCTTTCTTTTTTCTATAATCTATCCTGTCTAATCATGAAAATCATAAATCGCACATTCATTTTTGTGGACTTTTTATGCAAAAAGTCATTAAGTGTGTTCCAGTCACCAATAAATGTAGATATTACCCGTTCTCTAATCAAAGATGTCAGTTTGTCCATCTCGGCAAGTTTGGCAATTTCACCAACCATTCCTCAGTGGTGAGTAGTGCTGAATTCTTTCTAACTTTGTACATATAGTAATCTTGCAATCCTGTGACACTAATGATACATTGAAATAATCTTCCATGGCATTTTTCTTATGGTTTTATCCATCAATCCTCAATCCTGCAATCACTTTGCAGTTGTTTATGGAGGCCTCTCCTTTTCACAATTACTCAGTGCATTTTTTTCCTAAAATGGCAACACCTAACAATATTCAGGCCCTTTACTTTTCCACACTACAATTTGTAAGTAAAGCATCTCCTTGTTCCTATTCCAAATATGGTTTGTCTTTGACAGACCAGGCAAAATGTCCAGAGAAAGAGGAACTGGAGCCTCTCTCCCAGGAAGAGACCCTCTCCATGGACAACCATGTCATTTAACTCCCATTCTGGACTGTGGCACAGACCTTAAGAGCTGTGTATTCATCCAGGACCACAAACAATCTTGTAGTCAGGCACTGAGAGTAAAAGCCCAGGTCTGTAAAATGGGAATAGATTCAAAAACAAGACCAGATGTTCCCAAGAATGGCCCTTCCTCTCCACATCACCACCAGGATGCTTCTGCTGCCCCAGGGGTGTCAAACTGTATTTCTCCAAGGGCTGGATCAGCATTGTAGTTCTCCTCTATGGGCTGGCAGGGGGGTGGGGGGCAGCGGGGGGCGGATACCTTCTGCAGCACTCTGCTGGCTGAAAATGGGCCTGTTTTGGGCCCATTTTTTTGGCTATGTGGGACCCATTCTGGCCCGTTTTGGGGCTGTAGGAAGTTAGCCCCCACCCCTCTCCTAGAAAAATGAAATATCCTAGGAAATATTAAAGAGGCAGAACATTTCCCCTAAAAAGTGAAGTAGAAACTCAGAAGCAGAAACTCACCTCAGAAGCAGAAGCTCACCCCCACCTTTGTTAATGGGCAGGCCATTAAGGTATGGGCCAGAGTATTCTACATAACAAAGGCCTCGGCCCATCTCACCACTTGGCCTGGAAAGATTGCATCAGCCAGCACTTAGGTTGAAGCCATGTGGTCCAGACAAAGCCTACAAAGTTAGTTAAGACCCCCGCCACTGGGAGTCTGACAGCCAATAGGATACATTTTTTGCACAGGAACAGGAAACACTACGATGGGACCCAACAGATGATATATAAGGGTCTCTCAGCATCTTGGCCTTCCCTTCTCTTTTCACCTTGAAGCATGTGATCATCCACTTTGGAACTCCAAGCCATGTGATCCTGTCCACCATTAAACCAGCTTTCCAAGCAGCCTCCATGTTTCCAGTGTCTTTTTCTCCACTTGGAACTGAACCCAGAAGGATAATTCTTCCAACAGGGCCAGCTTTAGTCCCATTTTTCAGTCATTTGGGGCCCATTTTGGGCCCATTTTAAGCCTGTTTTGGGCCTGGATTCCAGCCCAGTTTCGGCCAGCAGAGTGCTGGAGGGTGAAAATGAGGCACACGGCCCATTTTAGCCACTAGAGGTACTGCGGATATTTCCAGGCTAGTCCCATGGGCCGGGTTTAAGCACCCTGCGGGCCTTGAGTTTGACACCCCGTGCTACCCACCCCTCTAACTCAATCACCCAGCTCTCCCTTTATACCAAGGTATGTATATCAATGTACCTTCTCTCCAAACAAGGATTTTTCCGACAACTGACCCAGATACATCAGGAACACTCCCAACCACCCTTTTCAAGATCTTGGCATCTTGGGATGGGAATTACACACAGCCTCAGAGATATAAAAAGTCAAAGAGTCCCACCACCATGGAGTGCATCCACACAACCAGAAGAAAGGAAATCATGTCTCTTCAAACTGGTGTTTGGTGGATGTAGCAATGAATTGGTCTCAAGGAAAACAAATATATTTGTCCTATATCTTCCTCCATATTTACACAATGAAAAACATTAAGTGTTCAGTGTTTGTTAGTCTAGTGGTGTGGGATTTTATTGACCTAAAGCGCCGTCCAGACGGCAGCAGGTGAAAAAGATAATTGCCAGGGTGTGAGGGATCTTCTATGATGGACTTGATTCTGCTTTGGCAGCGGGACCTGGCTAAGTTTCTTCCCAGAAAGAGAATCCTCATTCGGTCCTGTTTCTAGTCCGCTCCTTCTCTGGCCCCTCTCAGAAGGGACCCCAAAGCGTGGATGGGACTCTACTGACTCACACCCCTCCCAGCAGGAGAGCCCCTCTGGGAGCAGGACAAGGGCGGCCCCTCCAGATCTCAGTCCAGTCTACCTGGGCACCACCAAGCGCAGTTCCTTCCCCAGTTTCAAAGTGAAGGTTGTGGGGCAGCGTTTGCTCAGGATCAGGTCAGCTCACAAATCTCCTGGCTGCCTCAGCAGCTCAGACTCAACAGCTGCCGCAGGGCACTATTCTGTGCTGTGCAAAGCAGCTGCACTTCAAATTCAGAGGATAAAGGTGAGTATGGAAGCCCGGGCAGGCAGGCGGGCCGGTGGGCCCAACAGCAGAGCATTGGAGAGAACCGGTTTGGTCTCCACTGCTCATTGCTGCTACCGGCTCGCCAGAACCGGGCCAAACCAGTTGAATACCACCACTGCTTTGGACCCTCAATTTGCCGCCGGAGGTTTTTCAGGCTGTCCCTGGGAAGGACTCAAAATCAGGAGTCCTTGTGGTTGAACATTTTCCAGATTCAAAGCATTTCCCAAAACCCCTAGAGATGCTACAGGTGTGGAGATTTTCCTGCCCCTCCAAGTTTCTCACCCACCTTCCAGACTCTGGAGGGCCTCGGAGTTAATTCTGGAGGTGCCATTTTTGCAGAGCCCCCAGTGGTGATGGTGAGTAGCAGGACAGAGGTGGAAGATGGGATGGAGATGCACGTCTGCCGGATCTATGGCTTCTACCCGAGGGAGATTGATGCCTCCTGGAGGAGGGACGGGGAAGTGTGGCTGGAGGACACCCTCCATGGATTTGTGGTCCCCAACGCGGATGGCACCTGTCACTCCTGGCTCAGCATCCAGATCGATCCCAAAGAAAGGGGCCGCTATCAGTGCCATGTGGAGCACAATGGCCTGCAGGAGCCTCTGGACATGGCCCTGAAGGGTGAGATGCTGCAGGGAGGGAAGTGCTGGGCTCTTTGGCAGGCTGGAAGGTGGTGGGAGAGGAATCTGACCCCAGCTGTGTCCAGGTATGAACATACCTGAGCTTTCGTCCATTGGTTTTTCCAGTGTTTGAGGTTGCAGAGACCAGACCATAGAACTGACTTCAGGTCATGGAAACTACAGAATCCCATCACAAGAGTTGGCTGATCCTGATGAAATGCTCTTAGATCCTCTCTTAGGCCTTGTTTCTTATCCCCAGTAGGAAAGCAGCAGTTACGCTGAGCACCAGAAATAGATTTGCTTTTGTTTATAAGTACAAGAATCAGGAGGAGTCTTGATGAACTGCAGTTGACTTCAGGAAATGCAGAGAGTGGCTGGACTGATGCATCAGGAGTCAACAAAGAGGCTACCAAGTCTGAGTTTTTCCCATCAGAGACTCACAGGGTTTCCTGCTTTAAAGGGCAAAAGGTCACTCTGCGTTGCTGCTCTAAGAAAGAAGTTGCATATTATTTTATGATGTGATATGTGAATTCCCAAGGCTCAGCATAAAACCCAAGGAAAAAAAGCCTTCCCTCTCAAAGAATTCCATATATGGCTCATAAGTGTCCCTAACATTTTTTACACTGGACTTCCAAAGTTGCAAAATTCTAATTCAATTTTTTGATCCATGATTGTCGCCACGATGCAAGAAATATTCAAATGTAATTGTTATGCTGATATCCCAAGGAAAATAAAATATTCCTTTTATTTTTGTTGTTGTTTTTAGCAAGCATCAATTCACAAGTAGCATGATTGCTATTCAGTGGGAATCCTGAATTTTGTGCAAGAGAAATTTAAAGTTCCCTCCTCAAACCTCACCCACCCACCCCGCAAGCAATAGCAATTTGTAATACTTCGGTAAGACCGTATTGGGAATACGTCATCTAGTTTTGGTTGCCATGATATAAAAAAGATGTTGAGACTCTGGAAAGAGTGCAGAGAAGGTCAACAAAGATTATTAGGAGGCTGGAGGTTAAAACACATGAAAAGCAGTTGCAGGAATTGGGCATTTCTAGTTTGATGAAAAGAAAAACTAGGGGTGACATGATATGTTCCAATATCTCAGGGGCTGCCACAAAGAAGAGGGAGTCAAGCTATTCTTCAAAGCACCTGAGGGCAGCAATGGATGGAAATTAAACAAGGAGAGAAGCAAACTAGAATGAAGGAGAAATTTCCTGACAGGGAGAACAGTTAATCAGTGGAATGGCTTCCCTTCAGGAGTTGTGGGGGCTCCATCACTGGAAGCATTTAAGAAGAGACTGGATAACCACTTGTCTGGAATGGTATAGGGTCTCCTGAGCAGGGGGTCAGACCGGAGGACCTCCAAGGTTCCTTCCAACTCTGTTATTCCGTTATTCTATTTCTGCCATTTGTGGGACCATCCAGAAGCTGGATATCACCCCATTCCATTTTCATGCTGAAGTTCTGGAAGCAGAAAATACAACTTTATGCTATTTTTGAACTGGCCAAAGAAATGAAGGTGTGTATTTAACAAAAAAAAGGCTAGGTGATATGAACTATTTTAATTCAAATAATAAAATGCAAACACTCAAACAGAAGAAAAAAATAGCATACAGATTTGCCTAATTCCACTCAGAGTCATGACCTATTGGGGCAGCCTACAAAAAGAGCAAAAACATTTTTGTTTTAACAAATCTTGTTTATATTATTGCGTTGGGGGCATTTTTGTTTTGTAAGCTGCTGAGAGTCACAAGGTGGCAAAGGCCTGCTTTTGAGTCAAAAGGCCAAAAATGAATCCAGTTGCCTTCATGCTGGGCTGGTGGGAGAAGAAGGCCGCGTCAGGAGGACACGTCCTCTAACAACGGCTAGCAAGGCTCCTTCATGTTACCTTGAAAAGGACACGAAAATGAGCCCATGGAGTTTCTTAATTTGGGGTATTTCCAGCTTTCACTTCTTTAGGTCTCATCCCTGATTGGGAAGATTGTTTGGGGTTCTCCTTCAATGTTCTGCTCTTTCTCCCAATTCAGAACCAACCAATTCAAAATCCAACCTGGGGGTCATCGTCGACTGGATTGTGGATGCTCTTATCCTGATGTGTGTGATTGCTGGGATCCTGGTATTCTTCAGTAAGTATCTTTTTTGCGGTGGGGGTGATGGAAGGCACCCCTTTGGGGAGCTTCTTCTGGCCTTCCTTCTGTCTTCTTTTCGTAGCCCTCTGAGAACTCCAGTCTCAGTTCAGCTGAGTCTGAGATTCAGGCAGTCCTGTTTTCTTCTGAGTTGGGAAGAGGCATCTCAGTTCTGTCCCTTTCAAAGGCTTTGATCAAGGAGCAACAGAGAAGATTATTATAACAGATTATTCATTTTCTCATGCTTCCAAATTTCTAAATTCTGTTTCTGCCAGTTAGCCAATGATAAAATAAGTTCCATGTTAAAAAGTATTTGGTTTCTTCCTTCTCTTTAATTTTAAGTGTTAATCTATCCACTTCTGCACATTCTAGTATTTTTTTTAAAATTACATTTTCCACTGCAGGGATCCCTTCACTTTCCCATTGTTGTGCAAACACAATTCTAGCTGCTGTTAAGACATGTAAAATTAAGCATGTGTTCCCTTTATTGTATTTTTCCAGTGAAATGCCCAACAAGAATATTTCTGGTTTTAGATCTGTATGTTGCTTTACCATTTTTTCTAACCATATATATATATATATTTGTCCAATATTTTTTTGCCTTTGGGCATGTCGCCCACATATGATTATACCAACCTGGAGTCTGATTACATTTCTAACATTTAGTGGCCATGTCTTTAAACATCTTTGCCAATCTTGTGGTCAAAAAGGGCCATCTATAACAGGGGCCGCAAACCTTTTGGACCTCAGGGATCATCAAACTCATAATTTTAAATCCTGCAGACCACTAATATGAATTTTGACTGACGGTGGCTTGCTGACGTTGGTGGGAAAGTCAGTCCCATATTCCAGAGCTGCAGTAGTCACAGGACTGGCCTGTGCACTGGCCTGCCATGGATGAGCTGCTCCGGGATGACCAAAGGGCCAGTCTTGTGACTACTGCAGCTCTGGAATATGAGACCGGCCCAGGGTGGGGTCTCCGCCGTAAGGGGTGGCACCTATAATGTGCAAATTTGCAGGTGGTACAACGTGCAAAAAGCAGCACAGCCCTCACTGGCCAGGATGAGGTAATGGTGCTGTTGCAGCAAGAGGGGGCTGGCGGCACAGGTGGGCTGAAGCGGCAATGGAGATGGCCAGAAGGTGCAGGAGCGCCACACTACCTTCCAGCTCCCCTCTACAGGCCTAGGCTCTTCCTCGATGGCCGCGGGCTGTAAGGACAGCCGGGGCAGGAGAAGTACTGGTTGGTGGGAGGGGGCGGAGGGGGCAAGTCTGCACTCACCATCCAGTTCAGAGGTCCAGAATGGGGCGTCAATGTCAGTTTTGTCATCCCTCTCGACGCTCTGCTCTGCTAAGGATGGGGCTATGTTTCTGCTCGCTATTCTTTTCCTGTGCCTTCCCCTATCTCCTCTCTTTTACCCCAGCAAGAGCTATGTTTCTGGGCTCTCCCCACACAGTGAGGGCATCTCCCAAGGATGCCCCCACCCACCAGCAGTGAGCCCAGGTTGGAGGAAGAGGAAGGGGCTCCAGGTGCCTGGCCGTTGTGCTGCCCCCTACTCTTAGCAGAGCAGAGTGCTGAGAGGGATGACAAAACTGACACTGATGACGCCGACACCCCATTCCGGACCTCTGAACTGGATGTTGAATGCAGACTTGCCCTTCTGCCCCCTCCCAGTACTTTTTCTGCCCAGGTGAGCTGGAAGATGCGGGAGTGCCGTGCAAATGCAAGTAGCGCAGCACTCCTGCGCCTTCTGGCCATCTCCATCGCCCTCCAGCCCACCTGTGTTGCCAGCCCTCTCTTGCTGCAACAGTACCATTACCTCGTCCTGGCCAGCGAGGGCTACACTGCTTTTTGCAGGTTTGTGCTCAGACAAAGTGTGGGGGGCAGTGGGTGGGTGGGCCATGTGGGCGGTGTACAGCCTGGATTAATTGCTTTGGGGGGGACATTTCTTTGCAGACCACCAAAAAATTTTCACGGACCACCAGTTTATCCCACCAGTTGGTGACCACTCACTGATCTATAAAACATTTTATACAGATTTTCTTGGTATGCAGTTGACGTTGTTAATTTATAATTCCTATCCCACAATTTCTGCCATTTATCTATAGTATAACCAAATTTTTTAGCCCATACTATCATTGTTTCCTTTACTTGCTGTTCTTCCATTTTAATACTCAATGAGTAGCTATATTTTAAAATAGTTTTTCATCCATCCCAGTTAATATCTGATATAGTTCTGTGGGTTGTTTATAAAAGCCACATATTTTAACATCTTTCTCATATCGTGATATGATCTTTTTGTTGGAGTCATAGCAATGTGATCTAGTGGGGGAAATCTGGTTTTTAATTTATTGTTTTAAATGTTTTACATGGCATTTTATTGTAAGCTTCCTAGAATCATCTTGAACAGATGGGTGGCATAGAAGTTTAATAATAAAATTAATAAATAGGCTGGTCTCCTCTGAGAGATTCATGAAGCTGTAGAGGTTTAATGGTAAAGAGAGGATCAGGACAAAGCATTTCTACTCCCATTCCTATTCTATCCTCTCTTTGTGTCTGTCTTTCCAATGCAGGGAGGAACCAGGCCATTTAGCAGCCCCCTCGGAGGTGAGTGGCCCCACTGGGGTCTGTATGGGGACGAAGAAGGGAGGGAAACGAGGGCTTTGAGGTCCAAGGACCAACTGATGGTGAAGATACTTGGGGAAATCCCTCTTTTCTCTCCTATTAATCTCAAGCGGTGCAAGGGGAGGAATTTGGGGGAGATCCAGAGGGGCTCTGGGAAGGGGGAGCTCTTCCTGCCCCCAAACTCTTATCCTGCCAGGCCAGACTGTGACTCCTTTTGGGATCTGACTGTCTTGGATCAGGAGGCTCAGAGAGCTGTAAAGAGATTGGTCAAGGAATGACGTAGCAGCTGTCCAGATGAAGTCAAAAGACACTGACACAAACTTGTAGTTTAGATATATATAAATATACAGTATTTAACATTTATAGTTGCAGCAGACAAGATAGTCAGGAACATCGTGAGGTAAATCAAAGAGCACATGGAACACAGAGAAGAAAAAGGTGGGAAAACGGGAAACTCCCCCTTTATACCCACAGCAACCAATCATAGTGTGGATTGCCTCGTGCAGAAGCCAGCACAACCAATCAGCTCTTTCCCCATTGGACACTTTCCTGTCCCAGCTACTGAATTTAATATCCTACAAGACTAGGGGGTCCACAGTGCAGGAAGAAAAGGGGGGCAGATGAGGGGCTTCTTGAGGTCCTGCAGTCATGGATGGAGAAGGGGCTTCTCTCCACTCTTTGGAGCCCTCTGGGAATCCCTCCCTCCAGAGGCTGAAGGAAGACATGGGGAGGGGGGCTTGAGCTAGGGATCCATAAGTACAGACTAGTATTGGATTCGTGTATTTGAGGAGGAACATTGATGTTATGTAACTTGTGGGGCAGATTCTCAGCTGCTTCAAGAGCCAGTCTCAGCCCTGCCTCTGCCTTCTTTCTACCTTGGAGAATCCCACCCAGCTGATCCCTCTCGTGAGGAAGCCGCAGTTCTCATGAGTAGGATCAGCTCGGCAGATTGGTGCTGATCCCTCAGCCTAGGCGGTGGGATTCCTCCTCTTGGCTCCCTCCCAGACTGACACTGCCTGCTTTTTCCCTCTCTTGGTAGCATGAGTGGACAGTCCCAGCATGAGGAGAGAGGAAAGGAGAAGGGATCAATCTTCTTCTGAATTAGGTCGGACTCTCAGGAGGAGCCCTTCAGGCCCATGCTGCATGCCTGGAACCAGGATGTATTTGGGGGCCTTTCGCCATTGCTTTTATCATTGGATCAGTAACCTTTTGTATTAGGATAGAGGAACGGGGGGTGGGGGGAGAAAAGTACAACTTATGTGTTTATAATTGTGGAATCAAAAAGATTCAAACTGTGATTAGTAGATATTTTATTTTTTATTTATTTGTATCCTGCTGAAGGCATTGAAGATATCTAACACAACTTCTCGTCCTATTTTCCCCACAACAACCATCCTTTGAAATGGGTTGGGAATCAGAGAGAATGACTGGCCCACCCAGCTGTCTTTTGTGGCTAAGGTGAGACTTGAACTCACAGTTGCTTTCTAGCCTGGTGCCTTAACCACTACACCAAACTGCCTTGTATAGCTTGTAATAGCTTCATAATATAGCTTGTAGCAACGTTGTTGTTATTTCTGGTGACGTTTACTGGGTTTCTGCTGATTAACAGGTTTTAGGGAAAGGCCCAGAGTGAATGAGGCGAGGATAAAGAGTTGCTAGTTTTATTTTAAGGGAGAGTGATAAACTGTTAATCTCCATCATAGCTGCTTGGATTGAAAAGGAAGGGTTTTTTCAGTCTTATTTTTCTTGTTATATAATAGTTGTATCATGAATAGTATGTACCATGTACTGCCATTTATGGATTTTCACACTTAAGAAAAATGAAAAAGGAATGAAGTGCTGAATGGACATATTTTTTTCTGCTGCCAATGAACTCTCTGATGCTAGAATCCTCCTAACCTAGGAAAAATTCCTAGCTGATATCCTCAGGATATCTCTCCAAGGCATCTCAGCACAGTTAACAAACCAGGTTTCCACAATTTACTCTCCACTCACAATTAACTCATTAAGATGGTTTCTCCCAGAATTCCTCAGCCAGCATGCTTTAAGAGGGGTGGGCTTCATCTCCTCAAATCCCCCAGCCAACATGCTTTAAGAAGGGAGGACTAACTCCCACAATCCCCCAGCCAGGATGCTTTAAGAGGGGAGGATTTCAACTCCCAGAATTCCCCAGCCAGCAAAAAAATCTTAAAGTATGCCGGCTCCAGAATTCTGGGAGTAGAAGTCCTCCCCTCTTAAAGCATCCTGGCTGGGGGATTCTGGAGTGGAAGTAAAGAACTCTGTTCCAACTGCCAGTTGCCTCACAATCCGTTACCTCAGTTCAAACTGGAAGACATTCTACTCCTTCAGGAGTAGCCTGGGTCTCCTTAAAATACTAAACGCTGCTACCTCACTAAAATGTCTATGCCTTCCACTTATGAAACCGCTTCTGAACTTAAGGCGTTGGGAGAGATATTAGTTCAAAAAAAAGGCCAGAAGTGTTGTTTTGGGAGAGTTATTGATAAGAAGTTCATCGGTTCAAATCCCTAGTGCCGCCCAATGGGGTAAGCTCCTGTTACTTGTCCCAGCTTCTGCCAACCTAGCAGTTCAAAAGCATGTTAAAATGCAAGTAGAAAAATAGGGACCTTTGGTGGAAAGGTAACAGCGTTCTGTGTGCATTTGGCGTTTAGTCATGCCGGCCACATGACCATGGAGACATCTTTGGACAGCGCTGGCTCTTCGGCTTTGTAACAGAGATGATCACCGCCCCCTAAAGTTGGGAACGACTAGCACATTTGTGCAAGGGAAACCTTTACCTTTATCTAAGCCTTATATTTACTTTTCATTATTTGCCTTTCTAGTTTTGTAATTCCAGCTTTTCTCCAGTCACACATGAGATTTCAATGTTACATTCATCATTTCTCCATTATAGCACCTTGTTTTGAAGTAAAATTTCTAAAAGGTCTGAGTTTCAGCTTTCTCTCCATTTTGGAACTTGATTTCTTTGGGGTCTGTTTTTTTGTTTGTTTGTTTGTTTCCTGAGGATTATTTTTATTATTTCGGGCTACCTATTGGTGCTTCCAACTCTCCTTCGCAGCTGATAGGCATGACTTTTAAAAGGCAGCTGTAATAATTGAACTCACTAAAGAAAGTCAATACAAATCTTTATTTTCCTAACATATCTCTTTCCTCCCTGTGCCTCTACCAGGCCCCATAGTATCTTCCATCGCTTCAGAGTTGAGTTTGCCAACAACACAGAAGCTTGTCTTTCAAAGAGAGGCTTTGTTTCTTTAGACTGCCCTGCCATTTCTGACAGGATTGTTGCTCGTTTCTGAGGCCTCCTACAGACGCTTCAGCAGAGAAGCTGCTCTCGAGGAAAGCGGCTTTTGAGTCTCCACAAGAGATTTCTTCAATGTTCGCAAGACCGCAGACGGTTCTCAGGCATTAAAAAGAGGAAAATCTCGAAACTGCCGCCTGCTGGAGACGGCACGGCCTTTCTAGCCAGGCAATGTTGGAAGGACACTTTCCTTCTACTCCAATGCCCATCATCCGAGTCCCGCATGGAACATGATGATACCCTCCGTGTCCTCTGGCATCGCTCGCAAGACCCTCCAGGGGGCTCCCTCGGTAGCCGTTGGAAGAGCTGTGCACCGCCTCCCCCTTCTACCCTTTTCGAAGGAAACTGAGCATGCGCCTTGAGCTTTCCCCGTCGCAAGTGTTCTAAGGGCCCTTCTTTTTTTACCCCCTTTTTCCCAGAAAAGGCTGGGAGCGCATCTGGCTTTTCTACCGTGTCCAATCCGGCTCCTCTTCTCTGTGAGTCTCGGGCTGAGTTTTTTCCAGAAGTCCCAAGAGTTTGCAGGGAAATCTTACACGGATGGAGATCCAGACGTTGCTATTGGAGACGAGCATGGTGACCTGCGAAAGTTCATCAGGTTCGGAGCTATGGGAAAGAGAGATCCCGTGTTCCCATGTTCCCCTGCCGCCGCTGTGCATGCACGGGCCAGGCCGGGGAGGAAGCAAAGCTCCGGACCATCGCGCTGCTTCTTGGGGGGGGGGGGGGGGGGAATGAGGACCGCAGAGACGAGGGATGCATTTACCCTCCGTTTCATTGGGAGAAACCCTGCAGGGGGGGAAGCTTTGGAAAGCAGAGATTTCTACTTTCAAAGCAGCCTTGATTCCTGGACAGTTTCCTGCATGTTACGTGGCCTCGTTTTCAGAAGGGGATTCTCTTCCCCCCTCTTTCCTAGGCTGAGAGAAGCGACCTGCCGAAGTCGCTCCTGCTGGCTTTGCATGCAAGGCTGCAACTCCATGTACAAGAAATTGGACATAAGTGTGCAAGGACTGGAATTCGGTTTCCAGCCTTTCATCACCAATTGGTTCTTTCAGCACATCACACGATCCTCCACATCATGTTAAACAGTTAAAGCATAGGTGGTTTATTCATTGAGATATTAGTTCTGTATGCCTAGGACGATGGTTTCTTAATTTTGCCCTCTGGAGTTTCCCCAGGAGTTTTGGGCAAGGAGGTTGATGAGGTTCTCATCTCAATCACTGTTTATTATTTGTGATTCCAATTGTGCAAAGGTTGTTTTTTTACTTTGCAAGCAGCCATCGAAATTATTAGACTAAATAATCAGACACTAGAAGTCGAAAACTTTTCTAAATGTATTTATCCAATATTTTCAGTCCTTGTTCAAAGCTTATCTAGAAGGGCAATCCTAAATGTACTGCAGTAGTCAGTCTTCCTAATAAGATACCCCTCCTTGCAGATACTGATGGATTTCTTTCTTTTTTTGTAGGAGGAGGAAGTGGTTGCTCAGTATTCAGATTTGTCACCATATTGAACTCGCTGTGTTTTCCATTTCAGATATCTAAGGTGGAAATCTTTCCTGGTTCCTCGGGAGTCCAGAGTATCTTGTGTGGGAAGGGGGCTGAATGAGTCTAGGAGATTTGGCTAGACCTCTTGTGAAATCCATCCGTTCATTTTGGAGCTGGATTAGAGACTAGAGAGAAGATGGAGGGACAACACCCAGCAGATGCAGGTGTTGGAAAAGGCCTTCCAGCTACTCAGCCTTGGAGCTTTGGGAAGAATGGGGCAAGTCCTGGGCAGAAGAGCCAAGAAGAGGAAGCCAACGCTTCAGAGATCCAATTCTGTCACTTCAGAAAAGTGCAGTTCCAGGGGGGGAAGAGTCCCCGAGATGTTTGCACTCAGCTTCACCACCTTTGCTGTCAATGGCTGCAGCCAGAAAGACACACGAAGGCTCAGATGCTGGACTTGGTGCTCCTGGGGCAGTTCCTGGCTGTCCTTCCCCCAGAGATGGAGAAATGGGTGCGGGAGTGTGGAGCGGAGACCAGTTCCCAGGCGGTGGCCCTGGCTGAAGGCTTCTTGCTGACCCAGGAGGAGGAGAAATTGGAAGAAGAGTTGCAGGTGTGAGAATTTAATCATGGCATCTCTAAAGAGGAGTTCTGTGAATTTGTCAGTTGCTTTTTGGTAGAATTTTCTGGGATTATTAACTCCTATGGACAGTTGTTCCATTATTCTTCTAGGGGATGTGTTTGGGGCAATTCTTCCATTCTCTTTTGAGTTTTGCAAAAGGACATTGGGGTCTGCTGCTTTAAAGGTGCAGTATGATAATTCCTTAGTACTCTTTCTTTGTTTCTCATATTACATCATGTCCAGAAACCCTTTGAAGCTGTGACTGAATATCCCAAGGGGAGGAAAGATTCATTCAGATCTTTTCAAGAGCTGCTCTTCAGGGAGACTTTACACAAAGATCAAAGTCACAATACCATGCCAAGTAAGAAAAGCTCTTTCTGTGTAATGTGACTTCAACATTTAGCTGATTCTTTTCCCCCTCTTGACTGGAATCTCTCTCTTTAAAACAAATCTGCTTCCACCATTTTTCCCTCTCTTACAGGGAGTAGAAAGCTGTCCTTGGAATTTTTAGAATCACCTCCTCTTTGTGGTGGGGTTGAAGGGTTGGCTGAACCGCAGCTTCAGGTAAGGAGGAAAAAGATTGGAAAATGTCCATGAATCTTGGATGGATTTCATTTTGTTTTAGAGTTTATTGTAATAAATTGCTGTTTCTAAGCAATATAAATCTGACATCCAGTCATTCAAAACTGATAGGCGGCCTAGCTTCTCTCTCCCATCTGAGAGGATCCTTTGTCCTGCTTTGCCATCAGATTTCATTGACCAGATTGTTGTCAGCATCTGGGCTCTTCCTTCTGTCTCCTAGGGTTATTCTCACACACCATTACAAAAAAATACTCTTTTCTGCCTTTTCAAAATAACCTTTGAGACAGCCATGACCTGGTGATTGGGAATTTCCATAGACATAACCTGTTACAAGTGATCTTATTCTGAATTCAGCAGAACATGCCTATTTTGTTCACTAGATCTCTCTCCATTATTGGAAGAAAACTGGAAAATTATTCTTGGGATTATCTGTTAAAAGGAAAACATGTTTCCTTGTTCAGGGTGTTGTGTCTTTTGAGGACGTGGCCGTTTATTTCTCCGAGGAGGAGTGGTCTCAACTGGATGCTGACCAAAAAGCTCTCCATGGAGAAGTCATGCTGGAGAATTCCAGGAATCTCTTTTCTCTGGGTAAGAACCCCTGTCCCTGTTCAGTAACATAGAGAAATTTTGGGGCAGTGTGCTTAGATGTTATTACTGATTAAAACATCCCTTATTTATTTATATCCTGCCTCTATTTTTTTATCATAATAAAGGCAGAAGGCAAAACCAGTATTCCTTCCTCCTGCTGTTTTCCCTACAACAACAACCCTGTGACATGGGTTGAGCTGAAAGAGACTGGCCCAAAGTCACCCAGCCAGCCTTCATGCGTAAGGCAGAACTAGTACTCACAGTCACCCAGTTTCTAGCCTGGTGTGTTAACCGTTTCACCAAACTGAATTTATAGAAGAAGGAAATATATTGAAGGAAATTTTGAAAACTGCATAACATTCCTTTTCACGTAAAGGAATTGGGGTTTATTTTTAATGTTTTTGCTCATAAAATGCAATATTTCATGCCATAGAAGATTTTAGCGAGTATTTGAGAGTCACAGAGGGATGATGTAATCTCTTGAGTAAGGTTCTTCCTACCAGGGTTCGGTGTTCATACCTAAATGTTGTCGCTGGATTCCTGATGGGCCTGAGCTGCTATAACGAAAACTGGATGGCTCCTGAGTAGTATGTCTCTTCTCTCAAGTGTGCCCATTTGTGTACCAAATTTGGCATCAGCCTAATTGAGGGTGGGGAGCTATTGCCATCCAGAAATTCCCCTCCACTTTCAAAGATTCTGCTCTGCAGACAAGTGGGGATGAGACTTCCAATGAAGTTGGGCAGCTGGTAGGTATGTTGTTGACCCAGCATGATACCGTGTCCAATGGACTTCAAGAGTTCCTGGCACCATGGATAGTCCCAGGTCAAGGCTTAGATCAGGGTTGTGTCTTAGATTCATTGTGATGTGATCCAAAATATATAAATGATTCTTTGGCTGAATTTCAGAAGAAAAAGTTTGATTGTTCCCGTTTCTAGCTACATTTCATTTTCTTTTTTCTTTTTGAAGGCTTTAATGGGCAAGAGAATAAAAATTGCAATGAAGAATGCCAAGACATCCATCGGAAAAAGGAAAAAGGGAAATGTTCAGATCAAATGCAATCAAACAGTGATGAAACAAAGCAATCACAAAGTGGAATTAAAAAAGGCTTTCCTCGGGTCATTTGGCTTCCTAACCATACAAACATCGATGCGGGAGAAAGACCATATCAATGCATGGATTCTGGAAAGAACTTTAATAAATCCGATCATTGTATTTCTCATAAAAAGACACATTCAGAAGAGAAACGATATACCTGCAGGGAGTGTGGAAAGACCTTCTGTAATAATGACTCTCTTAGAACTCACAAAAGGAATCACAAAGGAGAACAACTTCATAAATGCATGGAGTGTGGAAAGAAGTTTACTTGTAAGAGTAATCTTAATACCCACAAGAGGATCCACACAGG